CTCCCTGCAACCTTTGCCTCTGGACTTTGGCGGTCTTGGCTCTGCTGTCGTGACCGTTGACTGACCTGTCGGGAGAAGAGAGGAGGAGGAGGGAGGGGGGGGCAGTGTTTGTGTGCGTGTTTCAAGCTGTATTATTAGCAGCGCTTTACGTGGAGGAGGGGCTAGTTCAAGTGAAGGAGCCAAGTGAGACAAAAAAGGAACAAGTGTAGAAGAAAGGACGATTCAAGGTTCAAAAGAGTGTACAGGGCCCCGGCATGCAAAATGATGTGGGAAGGGGGAGATGGACGGAGATGGACGGACTCTACTGAGGACACACACGCAGGAGAAGAGGCCCAAGTGGGGATTGGCGGGGAGGGAGAGGAGAAGGGAGGATAGCAAGCAATACAGGGAGACAGAGAGAGAGAGGCGGGGAGAGTGAGGAGGCGCGAGAGAGACAGAGAAAGGGGAAAGAGGAGGAGGATCAGGATGGATGGACAGAATGGCCAGCGGGGACGGGAGCAGCGTAAGAGCGCCTATTACTCGTAATTTAAGATTGATACAGGGTCTGGGGGGGGGGGAGGGAAGGGGATGATGGAAAGGGCAGGGGTATTGAGCAGAACAGAGCAGACAGTTGTATTATTGACCATCTTGCTTGCTCTCCAGTAATATTATTACTATCCTATATATAATCTGTACAGATTACACATATACAAGCACATTTAACGACTGCAGGTAATAATCAAGTAAACAGGGGCGATAGGCGATACGACGTAAGACGCAACCAGCACAGAACGGAGTGGGGAAGGGGGAGCAGAGCCGTGACACCACATAATACGGACGGCAAAAGGTCCGTCGATGGGAGGAGGAAGAGTACGCGGCGTTGCAGGCCACGAGTGCCATGGCGTTTCAGGCTTCCATAAAGTGAGGGGAGAGAGAGTCTGAGGAGAAGCGCTGAAGCAGACTAGGCCGAGATGCAAGATCGAATCATTCCCCCATCGACTCGTGGTAGAGAGATCCTACTCGTGCAGACTATCCGCTGACTCGTCTTACAGGCTAGCAGGTACATTGTTACTGTACATTGTACGGAGTATTAATATTACGTCTTACCCCTTTGGATTCTACACGTAATATAGACGCTCTCTCTCGACCCAAGCCTTGGCGAAGTCTCCCCACTTTCTGCATTTGGTGATTGGTTTCGCGACTTGCCAATGGCTGGCGAATGTCCAAGGTAATCTGTAGTCTTATGGGGGAGATGGAGAGAGGGAGAAAAATCTAAACTTAAAATAATAAAAAAGAGACGCTCGGCTGGCTGGCATATCCGTCCATTGTGTGTTCAGTCGTATGTTGGCGTTGCCATTCTTCGAGTGATACGTGTGTCATGCAGGCGGCTCTACCAGGTGGCCGTATCCATACTGTCGTCGAGTGCTGCAATCAAGGGCAGAGCGCCGGACAGAACGACCCGGGCAGAACGACCGGGCAGAACGACCGGACACATGGCCAGCCACCTGCCATGGTACCTTGATGTGGCGTGGGCGTACCGGTAGAGGCTCAGGCCCGTAGGCTGTAGGTCATTGATGCACGATTGCTGCACCGAAGTGGAACACTGCGGGCACGGGCATACGAGTAGGCTAGGGGGGATGATATGATGGTGGGGGGGGGGGATATCAGTCCTCCGTCACCGAAGGGCCAACTAGAGGTTCACCCATGTCCACTGAAAGGCCTTGTACGGAGGTTTACTACTAGGCTGCCCCCCCCACCTTCCCCCTGTATGGGTGCATGTACTCGTACAGCCATCTATACATGTAATACGGAAGTATTAGCTGTAGAGTGATAAAATGATGATGTACATTGTAATTCATGCATGTCATGTTTTTTTTCCAACGCTTTCACGAGGATATCAACCCCGAGTTTAATCAGTCTTATTTAGTATGGATACTTTATTACAGTCACGGCGCAGTTGTGCGTGTCGGTCCATATCGGAGAGAGACAACTCATCGAAAGCTGAGCCACACTGGGGCGGTGGTGCATAATACCTCCGACTTCCCGTGCATACAGTCCATCAGTAGTATCGATACTACTCACACCTGAACTGGGTACGAATGATCCGGCATCGAAGATCCGAGATGGGAGGCTCAGTCATGTGCTACCAGTAACTCATGATAGTCTTCTTCGTCACATTCTCCTACTATCACCACACACACCAGAACTCTAGCACGGGTAACGTCAGCTCTAGAGGAGGGGGCTGCTCGGATGAAAAGAGTCGAAGATTGTCTCACGGCGTGATCCCACAACGTGTCGGACGGAACAGAGTTTCTCCGGAAGTCGCTGGACTCGGTGTACAGGTTATAAGGAAGGAGAGAGCGCCTCATGTTCCTGCCATCGAATAAGCACATGAGAACGTGCGTGCATCATACAACAACGACCCTAAAAACATCAATCATGCTGTTTGTCTCCTTCCGTAACTTCAATAATCCCCCTATCTGATCATTGGCAGCATCACCTGCTTTATCCATCAACTCGGACACGCACTCATCCCAAGTCATTCCTAGTGTAGAGTCCGGCACCGATGTGTTGAGCAGGCAGCGGCGATGCGCTCCCTGCCCTGATGATAGTCCGAGCTCCCCTTAACTTGAGACGCTACGCACTCCATCCTCTGCCCACCGATACCTGCGTTGTTCGATATGTTCTCTGCGCTCCGATGCTGGGTCTCCGCATTGCCGAAACGGCTCAACGTGCGCGTCTGCCGAGCGTGGAACTCTTGTGCCTCTCTCGGCCTCGGTTTTGCAAGTTGCCACAGCAATGCATCAAGCATCAAGCCCTTCACTGCGGAGCGAAACCTATACGATGAAGTAATTGCCCTTCTTGTCCTTGTCTGCTTCGTGGTTAATATTATAAGGTGTCTTCGGGAGAATGCATCGATTCCCGTCCCCCACGTCTATACATGTGGCCACGCTCGACTCCTACGTAGCGATGCTACGCCTCGAGCCTTCATGATGATCGAGTATATCCCTGGTCGGCCGCTCGGCAAACACCTCCGATTATCAACGTGCGCAGAGGAACAACGGAAGACCCTCTTCTCGGACTGATCGGCGTCTTTCACTCCTTGAGGAGCTTAGAATTCTCGGCATCTAGGTCGCTAATGCCTAGCCAATGGTTGATGAGCTCCAAGCCGACAATCGTCAGCTCTGTATCTATCCCGAAAAACTAACTCTCGGTCGACGGCTACGTCCCTCCATCCGAAACGCCCACGTCTATGGCTGACTACCTTGCCTATCAACGCCGCCTTATATGGGACGTCTACTCGCCTCCTATGCAAGATTTAGAACGAGAGCTAGCAAGACAAGAGCTCTCTGCCCTTCACTGCTTCTTCACAGTTTCGGAGTATGGATGAGGAGGGTATCAAGGACACACCTCTGTGCTGGGCTCATACAGATCTGCCACGGTCCAATATCATAATCAACAAAGATTTCCACATTACCGGCATCGTCGACTGGGAGTGGTCATATGTGATCCCTTCTCGGTTCTTGATGCCCCTGCCGTGGATTACCAAAACTGAGGTTTTGCTGAGTTTTGCTCATAGTTGGCCAATTCCCTCCCACGGCCACGTCACTGGCCAAGAGAAAACTGCCCTTCCCAGATCACATATCTAGACAACACAGTCACGCATCACACGTAACAAGGTCAGGCATCCATGAAGAAAGCTGCTTTTTTACTCTGCCTGATTTTTTTTCTCTTCTCTTTCTTTACCCTTTCCATCCTCTTTCTCTTCTCCTTCACTATTCCTTCCATTCGAAAAAAAAAACCCTTCTTCAAAACGTGACGATACCAACATCCGCAACACCTCATTTTTCCCATTTGACCATAAGAACCACACACATAACGAAACTTTCACTTTTTTTTGGTGAGGCTTTTCAAAGGTAATTGGGGAGTGGTGAAACAACACAAACTTGGAAAGAACATGAGGAGTAACAAGAGCAAGCAAAATACGACTTGAGGACCAACCGATGGCCAAACACACACAAAAAGGTGGAGGGCTGAGGGGACAATAGAAGAAGAAAAGAAAAGAAAACATAGTAGAGGGCAGAGTAATTTGTGCCGTCCCAAGGCCCTTTGTTTTCTTTTTCCGGGATATGTACTGTACAACAAGAAAGGGCGGTGTGTGTGCTGAAAGAAATGGGTTTACCGTACATGGAGAAAGCAGAAGAGAGCCTTGGGTTTTTTGTGAAAAGGTCACAGAATGCCCAACCTCTCTCGTGTGTAGAGTAGGTGGACGTGGACTGCTTAGACATCCCACTCCTCCTCGACCTCCTCCTCGGGCGTGTCGTCCTTGGCAGTCAGGGCCGAGAAGGATCCGAAGCTCTGGGGCTTGGACGATGCGCTCGCCGAGCTGACGACGGGTGTGGGCCTCTTGGGCTGCACGTCGGCGGCGGCGGAGGCCGGGACGGCCGTGGTGGCGGGAGCGGTGCTCTCGATCGGGTTGTCCTTCTTGGACCGCTTCGAGGACTTGGTCTTCACCGTGTTCCACTCGTCCTCCTCCTTGAGCATCTCCAGCTGTTCCTCCTCAGAGGGGAGAGACGAAATCCAGGCCGACTCAGACGACAGCTCCTTGGCGGTGGCGGGCTTGGCAGCCACCTCCTTGGCCGGCGTCTCGTCGAAGGTGTCGAGGAAGCCGTGGGCGGCGCCGTTGGTAGCGCCGTTGGTCGCACCGTTGCTGGCGGGCTCGCTGGGAGCACCCTGGCTCCAGGCCGACGACTTGACGCTGGCGGCCGTGTACTGGGAGCCGTCCTTGGCAGGGCGGCCCTCGGCAATGCGGGCGGCCCTGCGCTGCTTCTCCTCCAAGACCCTGCGCTCCTTCTCGGCCTCCTCGCGGGCAGCTTTGGCAGCCTCGGCCTTCTTCCGGTTCTGACGCTGCTTCTTGGTCTCGACCACCTCGGGGGCCTTGGCTTTCTTCTTGTTGCTCGTCTTGGGCTCCGTGTCGGTCAGACGTAGGACCGAGGGGCCAGAAGGAGTGGGTTCGAGCATGTCGGCGACACCGGCGGCATCGGCGGCCACGGCCTCGGGAGACGTCGCGTCATCGTCGGTGGTCGAGGCATGCTCAGCCTCGGCCTCGGAGACGGCTTCGGGAGCAGAGGCAGGGGCAGGGGCGAGAGACTCCTGGAGGGCGATGGGCTTGTTGATCTTGTTCGCACGTGACTGCTTAACCGACTTCTCCTTCTGCTTCTTTCCAGAACTCGAGTCCTTGGCGAACTGCTTGCCCTGCTTGGCCTTTGACAGCTGCCTGGCAAACTCTGCGTTGTCAATGTCGTCGTCCGGCGCCTCGGCGACCTGAGAGCTGGTCGTGAATGCCTCAGGCTGGGGTGTCACCTTGGGCTGCTGCTGAGTCTTGGCTCGCGACTTCACGTGGGACGACGACCCCTGAGCGTCGGCTGAGCCATCAGTTCGCGGCTGCTGCTTCTTCTTCTTGCTGCTGCCGCTGCTGCTAGCTGTGGCAGCGGTTTCCTCCCTCCGAGGCTCAGGCTGCTGCCGGACCGGTTTCGGCTGCACCGCGGTGGCCTTCTTACGAGCCTTTGATGTAGACACCTGGTAGAGGGCGTAGCCCACACCGGCAAGGGTGATGTAGCCACCGACGGTGTAGAGGTAGTTCATGTTGGTTTCGTCGGCCATGATTGCGGTGATGGTATTGTGACGGCGACAAGCGCGTTCGAAGGAGGGCGCACAAAGGGGCTATGCGTGGGTGCGTGGGCGAAAGAATACACCCGTGAGGGAGCCGTAAGGGGGACAGCTGTCCAGAGTTGAAAAGCCGGACAGACAAGAGACAAGGCAGGAGAAAGAGATAAAGAGAGGGAGGGAGGGAGAAAGGCAGAGACCGGTAGCCGGTCTGTACTAGACTGTTAGCTGATGACCAAAAGCAGCTTTGCGAGCTACTTTAAGCGATGCCAGAGGTCAAAAGGATCGGCGGTTTTGTGTGGTCAAGTCAAGAAAAGACAAACACTGGGTTCCAAAAGTCACAGGCACGAACACTGGAAAAAGCATGAGGCCAGGTGGTCTTCAGTAGCTGGCTGCAGCTTGCCGGGGCCGAGGGTGTGGAGAATGAGAGAGCAGGCCTGGGGTTAACAGGAAAAGGGCCCGCTGAGAGAGATGGCGACAGCAGGTGAAGGGGGGGGGGGGGGGGGGGGGGGGGGGGAAATGAAGACAAAATAGAAGAAAGGAAAGCCGAGCCAATCAGATGGCAATGGATGAGAATTGGGATGAGTGGCGTGGTAATACAGAGAGGCTCGGGGTAATATTATAATATTATTCTGTACTGTCTATCACTGTACCTCTTACCTCTGTTGAAAGAGTATAGAGAGGTCCAATGGTACAAAACACTGCTGGTGTCGAAGATTGTTGGGGATTGACGAGGGGATTCGAAGATGCCAAAAGGTGGCAACAACCTGGATTTACTAATTGTAATACGAGTACGGAGTTGGCTTTGGCTGGAGGCCGTAGCGGGACATCCGTTGGGGGGAGGGGACCTAACAACAGGGAGAGAAGGAGCACACATATCGCTAAGACCCCTCCGCCCACCACAGAGAGCCCGCTGTGTAACAGCATAGGGACGCTGTATTAGGGCGCAGCCGCCGATACCAAGCACTGCAGCGCCCTATCAGCCGCCATTACAGAGACTATAATACATTTACGGGGATTTGGCTAATGACCGTGCCTGTACATGACAGTAATGAATACATGTGCGCATCATGGCAAAGCCATTCATTGCCTTGGACGCATCTACTACTGACAGTCCAGATTTTCAAATGAAGTAAAAATTAAATATATATATATATATATATATATATATATATATATATATTTTTTTTTTTTTTTAAAAAAATGACACTAATGGAATATGTATAGTGCCTCGTACCCAAAGTGCGGACATATCACTACGACGAGTGCGAGATGCAGGTAATCTAGGTCAGTGTGCACGTGCTACTGCGAGTACTGACGTATAATATTATTAGTAAATGCCATGTCAATACCCGGGACAGAGTCATCACCACCAGCCCTTTATCTGATCTCTGTTGAGATCCGACACCAAACCGCCACTCCCAGTATTCTCATACGTGGAAAGGGAGGGAGGGGGGGGGGGAGTGAAATTAGATCGCTTCAATCTACAAACCCTACCATGATGCCCGTATTTCGGCCGGTGGCGCCCGTGGCAGTACATATTCTGAATTGCTTGTCTCGGGTCATCTCCTGCCCCTAACGAGCAAGTGCGCTGTACCGCTCCGCAGTGTGGTGACCACCGCCATGGAGAATTCTCCACCTGGAGGGGGAGGGGCAACAGAGACGACGAAGGCTCAGCCAACTTCCATGCTTCTACCTTGCTCATATTACTACTACTATACCACGTTCATCGGCTCCGCCTCGCAGTAAAATATATTTACCATGGCGCCCAACAAGATAATCATCGACACCGACCCCGGTAAGGTCATTCATGTCAAGCTAAAACAAATATATGCAGTGAACAGAGATACTGACCGGCCGTAGGTGTCGACGACATCATGGCCCTCCTTCTGGCCCTCAGTGCGGATCCTTCAGAGCTCGAGGTTCTCATGATATCGGTCACATATGGCAACGTGCCCTTGCAGAGGTGAGTCGTGTTGAAATCCGACTTGTTGTCGGATATTTACGCTGACAATCTGGTTCAAACAGCTGCCTCAAAAACACCGTGACCGTGTTCCACGTCCTCGAAAAGGAACTGGCCTGGAGAAGGTCGACGGGCAGGGCTGAAAAGTACGAGACCATGAAGAAGTCCAAGCCCATTGTTGCTGTCGGGCCTGCTCACCCTCTCGATGTCGAGGAGCTCAAGGCCGACTACTTCCGTAAGTACCGGACTAGGAGATCCTATCTCATTGAGGTTAAGAAAAAAGAGAAAAAGAAAGAGAAAACACGACACTAATACTGTAGTCGTATGAAAAAAAAAAAAAAAAAGACGGTGCCGATGGACTGCACAATGTTCACAGCGTCCACCCCCACCTGTCTCCGGGCGACGAGACGTGGAAGACGCTGTTTGACTCGTCAAGCAACGACCCCGCCGACGTCAGCAGCCCGTCGCCGTACTTTACACCCTCCAAGGTGCCCTCACACAAGGAGATCCTGCGCATCCTAAGGGAGAATCCGGTCGACACGGTCACCCTCGTGGCCGTGGGCCCGCTGACCAACATGGCCCTCGCCGCCGCCGAGGACCCGGAGACTTTCGTCAAGGCCAAGGAGCTCCTGGTCATGGGTGGCGCCGTCCACGTCCAGGGAAACTGCACCCCCGTGGCCGAGTTCAACTGCTACGCCGACTCCGTGGCCGCCGCCCGCGTGTACGCGCTGACGTCTTTCGTGCCCGAGGCCACCATGCCGCCCGCATCCTCGACCGCAGAGTCGTCCCTGGGTCCCTACCCTGCCAACCTGAGCCGGCAGCTGAAGCTAACCCTGTTCCCCCTGGACATCACCACCCCGCACTCCATCAGCAAGGAGTACTTCACCGGCAAGATTCAGCCCTACATCGACGCAGGGAGCCCTCTCGCCACGTGGACCTCGCACTTCATCCAGGGCGCCTTCAAGAAGATCGAGGACATCATCGACCCGGACATCAAGGACCCCGACCTGTCCCTCTCCCTTCACGACCCCCTGACCGTCTGGTACGCCTTGTCGTCGCCCACCAGCGACGCCTGGAAGGTCCCCGAGACCCCCGAGGACATCCGCGTCGAGACCACGGGCCAGTGGACGCACGGCATGCACATCATCGATAAACGCGGTAAGAAGAAGCCTGCCGCCGCCGCCGCCGCCGCCTCCAAGGATCCCAAGACCGACCCTGCCGTCCTGGCCGTCGACGATGTTCCCGGCGACGACTACGCCTGGCTCAGCGTGCGTAAAGGTAACCGTATCAACCGTCTCATCGCATCGCCTGGTGCCGATATCTTCAAGGAGGTGTGGATGGAGAAGGTGTTTGGTTAGATGATACCTACCGGGGTGATGGCGTTGTGAGTGGGAAAGTGTTGTAATGGCCCAGAGAATGAAGGTAGAAATGCAAATATTTTTTGTCTACATGTGAATTATCGAGTTCAATGATCCCTGGCCCAAATTATTTGCTCCAAAAACGCCCACTGTACCTTTCAGCCTCGGCAGATGTATCTTGTTTCTTTTCTTTCTCTCTCTCTCTCTCTCTCTCTTTCTTTTTGGTTTCTCTTTCGGACAGCGTGAATCGCCTCGCCTCCGTCAGACTCATACGTGCTTCACGCCCCCTATGGCCGAGCCCTTGACCTTTGTCCAGTTTATACTATCGTCGAGCTTCTCGTCCACCAAGCCCACGGAGCAGACGTTGTCTCCGCGCACGAGGTAAAGTCCCAGCGGGATGATTGTGGACTCCTCGTCATCGTCTTGTTCGCGAATGATGCGCTCGGTAGCCTGGTTGAGGACCTGTGGATTGATAATCGGTGGTCAGCTTATCTAGTTCTCACTCTCCAACTCTGTCTTCCACTCTCCTTCTCTATATCGCTCGGAGGACATATTGGCCATACCAGGTTCGTCGAGTGGTCGCATGCCGATAGTGTCCCGACGAGAATCCTAGAGTCGGCCGTGACAATCAGGACCTTTTCTATAGGGAGCACCAAGCAAGCCATGTCAGTTATGTTCGGACTGTGAAGTGAAAATGAAGAAGAAAAGAAAGAAAAAAAGGAGAATAAATGATATTTTTTTTTAGAAAGAAAAGGTATATGCAAAGTATAGGCAGGAAAAAAAAAAAAAAGGGGGGGGG